GATAGATAGATAGATAGATAGATAGATATAAACTTGCTTAATTAAACTTGATTTCTGATTTAGCTAAACTTTTCCAGCCCAGTGAAGTACCCCAACATCTCTTTCAGGTAACTGCCAGCAACACAGCAGTAAATATCAACAAGCAAGTATTGGTAGTACTTGTCGATGGTTGTTCTTCGGACATATTCTGTCAACAACATTGCTTTCTTCCAGCCTCAGAGGCACACTGTGCCAGTAGTCGGTCTTCAGATACATTTGTAGACAGCCCTGGCTTCTTTCAATTTCACAGGTACGTGGTGTCAGTAGTTGGTCTTCAGATACATTCTGTCGACGACCCTGGCTTCTTTTGGCTTCAGAGGTACGTTGTGGCAATAGTTGATCTTTAGACATATTCTGTTGACAATTTTGGTTTCAGAATGTCAACAAAAACGTGACATCATTACCCGGCGCCCACAGCCACCATTTCAGGATGGGCTGGGCTGTGGGGTGCATTTTGCACCATAGGGTCTCAGCAGCTTAGGCTGTAATTTGGTGGGGTGTCATTCTGGGATGGTGGCAGGGCCTGTGTTCCACTTGGGGGAAGCCAAGTGTTGTTTTGTGGGCGCCAGGTCCACAGTGCCATTTATTGTTAAATGGCCTGTTGCTAGGGAGAGGAAGTGGGCATTGCTATGTGACTTCATTACCTGGCACCCACAGACACCGTTTCCGGGCTGGGCTGGGCTGTGGGCCACATTTCGCGCCATGGTAGTGTCAGCTGCGATTTGGTGGGCTGTTGCTCCAGGGTGGTGGTGGGGCCTGTGTCCCATTTGGGGGAAGCTAAGTGTTGCTTTGTTGGTGCCAAGTCCATGCTGCCATTTCTCTATAAATGGCGAGTGCCCATCACTCCAGCTCCTGCATTGAGTATCTGCCCCGTAGTGGTCAATGCACATCATAGTGACCACTCAATGGGTGGAGGGACACTTAGCATATTGGCCTTTTATATATATAGATGCCACTTATATGAAATAGCTGAAATAGGCAAATTCATAAAGACGGAAGTAATTAGAGGTTTCCAAGGGCTGGAGGAAGGGAGAAATGGGGAATTATTCCTCAGTGGTTACAGAGTCTCTGTTTGTAATGATGAAATGTTTTGGAAAAATACTGGTGGTAGTTGTACAGCATTATGAATGTGAATGAATGAATGAATTGTACTTTTAAAAATTGTACTTTTATTATTATTATTATATATATATTACTACAATAAAAGAGTTAAAATATTATATACCCTTTTAGTAACTATTTTGATATATCTCCCTTGCTTACATTAGCATTAACCAGACAAATTAACACAAAGGCAGGAATAAAAATCATAAAAGATTATAAGTAGAAGTTCAAAAACGCAAACCAAGTTTAAAGTTAAACACCCATAACCAATGTTTCTGCTATGCTAACAACCACCACTATCGCATCCATGGTAAACAAACAGGGTGCTAGACTAGGCACCAAGAAGACAAAAACCAAATGAGAAAACAAAATGTCCTATTACCTCAACAAGCTGGCAAATAGAGTTATTAGCCCAATACAGACACTGGAGACAGAGACAGACATAATGGAGAGAAAAAGGTTTCAGTGCCACAGAACACAAAGGCATGCAAGATCACCTTCTGCTGACACACAGGCATGAACTGATGCAATTCCCTAGGAAACAGCATCTAACTCATAGAGATGTCCTCTTTCCTCAGTGACTCAATAAAAAGACATTGCGGAGCTGCAGCAAAGGCTAACGAAGGAAAGGATGGTATCTGAAAATTATTTCTGAAGGATCTCTTACACTTACTATTCCTCAACAGACTTATCAGAGTAGTTGCCAAATCAACTAGCCATTCAAAGAGTATAACTTCTATAAAAGACATCCAACTTGACAACACAGCACATGAAGCAGAACACTGGAAAAGCCAGCTCAAGATTCAAAAAAAACCCAGTAAATAATAATGAGACAGGGAAAATAATATCAATAAAAAAACAAGAACAAAAGATAACCAAAGGAAGATAATAGATATTAAAAATGTAATAGTTGACATAACAAACCCAATGTAAGAGATCAAAGTACGAGACAGCTGATGAATGATCAGTGAGCTGAAAAGTCAAATGAGGAATTCTCCCAAAGAAATACAGAAAAGACAAAGAGATGAAAAATGTAAAAAGAAAAAGCTAAGAGATGCGAAGGAATAGAAGTGGGAATCTCTAAATAATGAGAGTCCTACAGAACACAAAGGCATGCAAGATCACCTTCTGCGACACCCAGGCATGAACTGATGCAATTCCCTACGAAACAGCATCTAACTCATATAGATATCCCTCTTTCCTCACTGACTCAATAAAAAGACACTGCCAAGCTGCAGCAAAGGCTAACGAAGGAAAGGATGGTATCTGAAAATTATTTCTGAAGGATCTCTTACACTTACTATTCCTCAACAGACTTATCAGAGTAGTTGCCAAATCAACTAGCCATTCAGAGAGTATAACTTCCTAAAAGACAT